CCAGCAAATGCAACATTGCTACTGCCACCACCACTTGCCATTTGTCTACTAGACATGAAAGTCGGTGCTTGGTAGGGAACAGACTTCGCTTCCTCAATCAAGAGTGGTGTTCTGTCACCACCTAGAACAGGGCTGCGTGGGTACACAGGTGGCACAGGGGGCTTTTCATTTGGCAGGACTATTGGCTGCTTCAATAGCTGTTCCTTGATCTCGTACTCTTCCTGGAGGACAACTGGCTTTCGCTTGTAGATGAAGGTTGTTTTCTCTGCCCCTGTCATTTTCTGCTTTCGACAACATCCCATAAGGATTAGCACACAGCACCCAATGAGAAGGAGAACAATGGCAAGTACAATGGCAGGTATAATTGCATAAGTCCACCATATTCCACCAGGCCTATCTGCAACTAAACCAGCAACAGGCGGTGCAACAACTTTGCATGGAGAAAGCATTTCATAAGAGCCAGATACCACCCTAAAATCTGGAGCAAGTGCCACTACAAACTGTGGATTCAAATCATTGCCAAACCAAAAGCCATCAATGAACTTTGCCAAGGTAGGATGAGAACATTCCTCATATGGCAAAAAATCAAAATAGAATGTAAATAGAATTCCAGGAGTGTAGCTGACCACACGCACGCTGGTGAAGTTTACTCCAAAGTAACTGGCTATCTTGTCTAACAGGAGCACTCTGATTCCCACATTGTCCATGAAGGTAGCATTGTCATAGTCAATCAGAATGTTAAACTTGTGACTGTAAGGAATGTTGTCTTCCGACACACTCACTTCAAATGCATCATAGGCCTCACTTCCTTCCTTGTCAGCAGCCACCATCAAAAACTCGTGTAATCCAATTCTATTAACATCAAAAGGCAAGCCATAAATTTCTTGGTGTGAAGAATTGAGGAGTATCCAAGATGTCCTGAGAAGTTTGTCTCCATCTATTGTCCTCATTTCTAGCTTTAAGTTTGGTGTGTAGAGGTCTTCTTTGTCGTAAAATGTGTCATTAGGAATGTGAAATCGTAACCCTTGTCCCTGGAATACATCCAGCCGATCAATGTGATTGTACAATTGTGGAGGTGTATTATTTGGTGGTTCAGGAGTTTGGCAAATGTCCAGGCCTTCGAACGAGCCAGAAGAGACTAGGAACTCGGGACGAAGAGCATTAATGAAGTTTTCATTTAACTTTTTGTTCATGATAAAGCTGGATTTCCACTTCAACAGCCGTAGGTCATCACATGCTAGATTTGGGATGGCAAACTGGAAGACAGTTGGAACATCTGGACCATAGCTACGGACACGAACATCATGAAAGTCCACTCCAAAGTAAGTTGCAAGCTTCTCCACAAAAATCACTCTTGAATTCACATTGTCTGCAACTGTAGCATCATCAATGACAATAGTAAACTTGTGGTTATAGATATTAGTATCTTCCAACACCTCCACTTTAATTTCATCGGAAGCTCTAAACCCTCCCTTGTCAGTGGCAGTCAAGTAAAACCTGTGCATGCCAATTTTGTTGTTGCCTATAGGTAAACTTATAATTTCCTGCTGTGGAGAGTCAAAAAGAAGAATCCATGAAGTTGGTAGCAGGTTTTCTCCTTTCATCGTTGTCATGAACAACTTGAGTTGGTGGGTGTACCCATCTTCCTTGTCATAGAATGTCTCTCTAGGAATAGGGTACTTCATTGCTTGTCCTTCGAATACAGTTTGGCGCTTTGTAGGGTTGATGGTTACTGGTGGAGTGTTCATATATTCTCCACAAAGTTGGTAATAACCAGAAATTACATTAAAATCTGGAGAAAGTGCTGCCACAAATTTTGGATTTATATTTCTGTCGCTCCAGAACCCACTTTTCACCTTTAAAAGATTTGGGTCGTCACATGGTCCAGCCGGAACAGTATCAAATCCAAAAGTAAATGTATCAGGGTTTTGACTCAAAACCCTAACGTTGTTGTATTCCAAGTCATAATAACTGGCTATTTTATCTATCAGTTTCACTCTCTGGAAAACATCTCTCTTGATTGCATTGTAGTTTTCAATGCGGATGGTGAAGTTGTTTTCATAATTTACGTTTTCTTCCAAGACAGTGATCGTCAAAGTAGTAAATCCTTCCTTTCCTTGTCTATTTCTTGCAACAAGGCGAAAATCATTACGTCCAACTGTACTGATATCCAAAGGTAAACCATAAATGTCCTGCTGATTGGAGTGAAGGAAAATCCAAGAGGACAGTGGAAGTTCTTTATTCTCCATTGTCCTAATGCTCAGCCTCAAGTTAGGTGTATAAAATTCATACTCGTCGTAGAAAGTGTCGTAAGGAACATGGAAGCGTATTGCTTGTCCCTGGGACACTTCTCTTTTGATAATACGTTGTTGATCTTCTGGGCTGCTCTCCAGCTTGGGTGTAATGCCTTCGCAAGGTCCAATACCAAAGTAGTAGCCAGTCAAAATTCTTATTTTGTCTTCTCTAAGGGCAGTTACAAATGACTCATTGACCTCTTTTTTATCATCAATCCAGAAGCCATCTATGATCCTTTTCAAGAGTGGATTGTCACATTCCCCATATGGAATGGAATCAAACCTAAAATGAAAAGATACTCCTTCGAGATACTTGGCGATGCGTACACTAGTTAAGTTTAGCTGATAGTATTTAGCAATTGCTTCCAATAAGAACACCCTGTTTTTAGTATTTCCTGCCAAGTCTTCATAGCTATAGCCTCGAAGGAGGATTGAAAACTCATGATTGTAACGGTTTGTGTCATCCACTACAAGCACCTTCACACTGGTAAAAGTTTCAAGTCCTCCACTGTCAATAGCAACTATGCGAAACTTGTGGTGTCCAACTAAATTTGAAGCATTTGGTTGGGCATAAATTTCCTGCTCTGAAGAATTAAAACCAATCCACGAGGTTGCAGAAAGAGCTTCACCATTTTTTGTTCTAATTTCAAGCTTCAAGTTACGTGTGTAAAAGTCCTGTGGGTCATAGAATGTGTTCCATGGGATGATGAAGTGCATTCCTTGTCCCAAAGACACACTCAGTTGACCAATTTTTTTGTTTACTTCAGGTATGGAATTCTCAGCAGCAGTTGGTGTACATAGTTCAATTCCCTCATGAAAGCCATACAGTATGTCAAACTCTGGAAGGAGGTATGTCTGAAAGTTTGGATTCAGTTCTCTATTATTTCTGCCAAAGCCATCTATGAGATTTTGCAAATTTTTACTGTTGCAGTTCTGGTCTGATAACTCGAATTTGAATGCAAAGAAAATGGCACCATGTTCATACGTGTAGGATGCAAGATGTAACTGAGACAAGTCCAAACCATAGTAGTTGGTAATTTTTCTCATTAGCTGAAGTCGAATCCCAACATCATTTATGAATTTTTTGTGGTCATAATTCAGGCAAATTGTAAACATGTGAGTGAAAGAGGTTAGGCTGTCGGACACTTGTACTTTAAAGCGGTCAGATACAGTTTTTCCACCATTGTCAGTGGCACTGAGAACAAACTCGTACAATCCAATGCTGTCACTTCCGAAAGGCAGGCCATAAATTACTTGATTCAGTGAGTCAAACATTATCCAGGAGGGAAGTTGACCAAGACTACCTGTTCTCATCTCTAGCCTTAGATTTCTTGTGTTGCCATCCTGTTGGTCATAAAACATATCAGCTGGGATTTGATATCGAAGTGCTCTTCCAGTGAAGAAGGTCATTTGGCCAATTGACTTCCGAATGACAGGTACAGTGTTAACAGGAAGGGGACTCCCTGTTGTAGTAGCCAGCATGACAGTTATACTGGGAGCAATAGATGATGGTGGAGCCATTGTGGCCAAAGGTGTTGGAGACGTGCCAGTCAGTACTGGAGTTGGAAACAGATTGCTTACTTGTCGACGTACCCTTTTTTCATGAGGTTTTGGCTGCCCAGTTACAATATGCCACCCACTAACAGGGGCTTCAAGAAATTGTTTAAATGTTCCCTGCTCAGAACTGGACTTCAAAAGAGAGACCATTTTTATTCCTATGACAAAAACAAAACAATACGTGGTTTAAGTACATTGCTTTTTTACACCACCATTTGGTCTTGCCAACACAATCCTACAGATATAAAAACTAACATGTGTGTAGGGTCTAAGGTGACTGAGGTGGACCAGGAAAAGTTGTCTGTTGCACAATACAGCAATAACTGGCAGAGATAGCTTGGGCTAAACAGGAAACTATTTGGCTCTTGGTCAGTTTGCACTGACCTCTCTGGACTTGGTCAGTATGTTATGAACTGAAGTTAAATGTTTTCCCATTCTGCCCACCCACTCATTTAATAAGTTTATAATTTCAAGTATTTTGCAACCAACACTTAACAACTCAATCATTAATTTTTTAAACAAAATTGGGTTTGGAGGAACCAGTTGGTACCTCTTTAGTGCTGGTGCTCACAGGGTTTAAAGAAAATTTTGAATTAGATAGCTGTTTTCAGAAAGTAGCCAGCAAATTTGCTGCTTGTGATGCAAGTACCTGAGCCGGGTTGTTTGAAAGCCAGTTAATGCTAACCCAGGATAAAAAGTTAACCAAAGAATTAATTTTTGTCCACTAAAATATCCATACCAACCCCAAGGAAGGTTAACGGAAATTCCAAGGGGGAGGGGGGGATTCTAAAGCCCAATTTTTTGAAGGAAAGTATGACACTAAAATGGAATTTCTGGAGGGGTGGGGTGGGGGTTCAAGCTGAAAAACCTTCTGTGGGAGGGGTATGGATATTTTCTGGAACAACACAATAGAGTTTTGAACAACCTGGCATTGAAGAACAGAACTGCCCAGCAGAGTGCCACAATATCCATCAGCAGCTGGCCACTTTTGACAACTTTGTCAGAGTGCAAAGAAAACCATTTTTCAAATTTGGCCTTTAGGCAAGCTGTTACTATGATGAACTGTTCCAAAAGTCATTCTCACGTAGCCTCCAAAAATTTATTTCAAGCCTTACCTTAATCAGCTTTAGACATTTTTCCCAAAACACTTCACTTGTTCATTGGGCAAGCAAAGAATGGATTCCACTAGCCTGACTGCATAATTATTAAGCGTTTCTTCTGCTCAACTTTTACACCAATAAGTATTGCCAGTCCCTCTGGATTACATGCACATGTTAGCAGGCTGTTAGCCAAGATTTGAAAAGTGGGCATCTAAAATGTGCTATAGGGCCTGCTCAAATGAACAATTTAGCAAGCAAAATATGAAAAATAAAATGATTTTCTTTAATAAGTGGCCGCATCCACAGGGTGCCTGGATGTCCGTTTGGCTAAAAGCCTGCATGTTAGTCCCTTGCCAGTTATCTTCCATCATAATGTGTCAGATCTGACCTAGTAATTTACTAGTTAACAGTAGCATTGATTCATGCTTTCACGAACATGAGAAGTTTGGAGAGAACAAAAGAAGCATAAGAGTCACCCAAGGCACAGCCAAGGACAACTTCTAGCTTCTTGAGTGCTCCTCAAACTTCCTATTTACAATTTTACAACTCAATAATGTACTCCATATGTTATAGCGGGACTTTTTGATCAGGTCACAAATAGAGTAGGGAAAATCATAGAGTTTGGTCTTAAATAGGGTACAGGATTTTAGAAGCAGGCTGCACACCCCACCCAATTTTTCTGCCATCCCCTGAGGGGTGGGGGGCCACCATAACTCATAACTCCCTAATCAAAGTCTCACTGGTTTCAAAACATTATTATTGTACTACACACCTGCAATATCCATTCCACAGCCAATTTTCCAGGAAACTACAATACCAGGCTTCTTGGGATCAGCTACATTTCCTGGTCCTGCTGTTATCATCACAATATTTTTGAACCCAAATGCTGTGCTATGTCCCTTTCCAGCTGACATGTGAAGGTCTGCTATGTTCACGTCGATGAATTCTGACAGTTGTCTCATGAGTTTCATTCTCTCTTCTCCACAGAGCTCCCCCACATGAAGATCAAACTGAACAGTGGCAACAGTGACGGGCATTCCATGAGAGCAAAGTGGTTCTGTAAAGGGTGGAACCTTTGTCTCGTTTGACATCATCGATTTATTCTCCAACATGGTATGTAAGTCTTGAACATCAATAGAGAAAACAGCCTTGTGCAATCCGCTGTCCCTTAGATGGACCTCAATATCAACTCTCCCTTTGTCTCGCTTTAAGGGTAACCCATAAATTTGGTTCTTGGTTGCATCAAAAGACAGCCATTTAGGTAGCACTGTTTTTCCTTGTTCTAAGGCCTAACAGACACAAGAAAGACTTGTTACTTATTTTGAAGCTGCCTGTACTTTTTAATAAGCCTGCTTAATTTCTTCTTAGTAGTGTCACTACAAAGGGGCTTTTTTTGAATGTGTAAATGCCCATTTTAAATGAACATTTTGTTTCTTCAAAATGTAGCTGGTAATCAATGCTGCCACAATCATTCTAGTTTCTGAAACAGTGTTGCATTGTGGACACTGTCAATGCTTTATATCAAAAGTTGCATGACAACACCTAAAATTCCAGTTTCCCCACCCTTGCAATAATTATCAAACACAACTTCATTGTCTCTAAGCTTGTGGTATTAAGTAATATTTTGAGTCATTTAAACATTCTGTATTTTTGCACTTTCAACAAATATCAGACCTGACCAGGCATGTGGTATTTTGAAGATGCAGTTCTTTTTAATTGATTTTTTTAGGGGCAAGTCTTCCATCCGTGTAATTAACGCCTCTTTCAATTAACACCAATATTGATTGTTGATACTTCACTGGATTAAGTGATATTCATTTCACAGTATGCATCTGCTTTGATTCACAACATACCTTGTATTGCTGTTTGCCATCTCGAGGGGGTAAAAAGTATTCAAATGATCTCCCAATAACAGCTATGGCATCTGGTAGTCTTTGGTATTGTTCCTCCAATTCTTTACCACAGACAAGCGTCACGAGGAGGCAGAATATGTGTATTATGAAGTTCATTTTGCAGATGAGAAGTGTGCTAGCACTTCTTAACTCTTTTGCACACAGACGCCTCAACCACAGCTTAAACTTAGCTTCTGTAAGCTATCAACACATTGATGGATCTGTAGAAGTAAATCACACAGCAATCTTTTAGAAAGAAAACAACCAACAAGGTCATTTGTGGTCAAAAATATAAAACGAAAAGTTTAACTTCTGGCTAAGCTGAGAGCATTTTTTTCTAACATTACAATAATTGGAATCGTAAAGCATTGCTTGTCCTTTTAACCAAAACTGAAAAGAAAACATGAAGAAAACATAAAGGATTTAAGTTTGCTAGCCTTAAACAGACAGCGAGTAGAGACAGTACAGATTCTTTTGCACCATGTGTCATCACATACTTTTTGCCTGTTCTAGCAAATACTCCCACGAGAAAATGATAATATATCGTTTTGACTGTTTAACATTTGTGGCTTAATGAAGCAAAGAAAGTTACTTTAGAGTATGCATATTAATCGTGGTATTACTTTAAAGGTGCCAAAGAATACAGTGCTTTATTTGTTAAAAATGGTGATGTCATATCCACAAGTCTTTCTAGAAAAAAAGAAGTGGTAGACTAAATAAAATTTACATTTGAAATGGCTGTGTGCCAAAATACAAATGCAGACAATATTTTAAGATCTACCTGCAACAGCTATGGTGACTGTGATTTCAAAAGCATAGGAACAATTTATTTAGATTTTATGCAGTTCAAAAGATAATTTTCTGATAGAATTAAAAGATTTTCTATTTACATCTTTGAAAGCAAGAGAGATTTTGAATATTTACCAAACTATTGAGAATTGATAGTTATCTTGGAAACAAAAATTGTCCGTCTTTTGAAACTTTCTCGAAATTACTCTGTTTACAGACTCTTGCTTAATTTCTCCTTCAACAGAATTTTGATTACAAAGTTTTATTCACTATGTCTTGACACAGTGCTGTATGAAGAAAGGATACAAGCTTTTCATAATATTTAACTTACTGACTGGCTGTAATATCTGATTGTCTAACTGGCAAAATACTTCTGTTCGGCATTAAACTTGAATTCTTCCATACTAACCAGTTTTGTCTTGCCTTTAAACATTAATCACACTCCAGACATAAAAATGTATTTAAAAATAATGATTTTCAGCACTAGTGGACTTGTGTGACAAAATCAGTATCTCTTGCTTTCACTCCCAAATTAAATTCATTTTGCACAAAACTAAAGCAGATTAATAAATTAATCCTCTATACCAAAGTTAAAAGACGAATACGCATTAATTATTAAACTGAACGTTTCAAAATTTAAATGTGCCAGCCAGGTTAAACGACTTATCAACAATATATTGCATTAGTACAATTTTCTCTGTCTAAGGAGTAGTGACAATATCTAATTGCAATTTGCCCGGTTATCGTTGCTTTTCATTATGTCTGTCACTTGTACTTTAAAAATCGGATTAAAAAAAAAACTGTGATAAAAAAACGTCAAGACAGAAAAGTGAAGTTAAGATAATGCTTAATCAATTTATCCTGTGACGCCTTTTGAAAATTATGCTGACTTTCCGGAAATTATACGAGTTGTGAACCGCCGCAATATATTTTTTTCTTCAGGGCGAAAATATCCAGCGCTGTCGTTCCCCAGATAATTCTTTTCAAACAGTTGTACTATGATCATTAGAAGATAATTAGCGCCATTTTGTAAGCCAATTTCCTATCATTCAACCATCTCCGAAAGCTGTCAACATCACATTTCGTAGGTTTTGTTTAAAATTCACGATTCATTTAAAATTCACCACCTACCGGTATCAAAGATCGAAACATTAGCTTCGACCGTGCTGAAGATCGTCGACAGACAGCGTAAACGTTCTTCACCGAAAACCGAAGGAAACTATTTCCGAAAGATTTTGGTTTTGCGTGACTTATACGTTGTCGATGACAGGAAACCCAACACAGCGTGAAACGTGCGAACGAGTTGTTGAAGAGTTTTCAACAAATGGTGTTATCTGGCCATCAGACAAAACACCGGTCAAAGAATAATGATGAATTGGTATTTTGCCTTTCTCGGAAGCATTCTTTATCGTGTTCTGCAAGTAATATTTTATACGAAAAACGGAACTGTTTGGCGTGGGCTACGATTCAGTAATTTTCACTGAACTGTTTTGACTCCAGTTCACGCCCCTTATTGTGGGTAATATGACAACCAAAACAAAGAGATTTACTTTTCAAAGAATAGCTGCCATCTTCTGAGGCCTAGAATTAACTTTTTAACCCCACGTATTTCTGGAGCCCGAAGCAAAAGCGATTCTGTACTGCTTGCTTCTATCTTTACTTTGATATTTGGGTCGGGGGTCATCCATTAAAACGCAGTTTGAAGCATTTTCAAACACCGACAATATAAACTTCGGAGTAAAACAGCTTCAGACGGAGAACGTACATTTATATTCTATTTACAAACTTTCATTGCATTAATTTGACCAGTCGTAGCGACTCGCACATGTGCAGGTTAAAAAAGCGTCAAACGAGAAAGTTGTCTTTGGTAGAATTCAGCCCGTGGACACTCATGAATCAACCAAAGAAAACAAAGATTAATATCGAAAGAGAATAGGACCATGTTAAGCCACGAAATTGTTCAATATATTTAAGCGTTAAAGTTTAATTTCTTCCCGGCAACAGAACACGCATTATCACATATGTTATTCATATACAGAGCTTGTACATGTGAATGACTTTCTTGCTTTTGGCTTGTAAAATACCCGAATGCGATGTTTTAGTGCGTCAAATTATCTTACTGTCCAAGGTAAAACTTCAAGAGCCGGCTGAGAGTAAACGAATCTGCTCCTTCTTTGTCACAGAAACATAGCCATAAACTGAAATATTCCGAAGAAGCGACTTGTTTAAAACAGCGCGCAGATTTCGCGAAGTTTTAGGAGTTTCGCTAGTGTCAAATTTGACTGAACGCATTTCCTGGAAGTAAAACTGTGTCTCTTTAGCTAGTCGATTTTTACAACTTATAGCCACTTGTACTGCTTAAAGATTTACCTGATAAATTAAGCAGGAACCGGCTATTCAAACGACTGTGACTCGTTTAGTTAACTTGCGAAAGGTTTTTGAACTACAACAACACTTGACTTTCGATCTCACCTCGTAAATGAAACTACACAGTCTTCGGTAATAAACTCCAACAAGAGCACGCCAGATAGTAAGAGAAGTGGTAATTGCTCGTTTTTCACCACCCAAGATGTTTTCTAGTTCACTTCTGTACAAAAACTACCCGCGAGACAGCGTAAAGGTGTGTTTGTCAAGACGCGACGCGTTTCCGTACTTCACTGATGATTGGCATTGATTGACACATTCCTGAGATCCCGATACACCGCGGACCAATAAAATCACGCGATTTTGAGTGACAAAAGTCTGCGGTCTTTTGCTCTGTTGATCACAGTGAATGGAGCGTATTTTTAAAAAGCGGTTGGACTCCCAGCAAAAAGGAAATTGGTATAACGTTACTTTGACCCGTAAACTAAACTTTCAAAACAACGCTGTTTGGAGCGAACGTCTAATAAGCTTTTAGCCTCAAGGTTTTTGTCATCGTCCGTTACATAGCGTTTTGTTGGTTTTCCGGAGGGGCGAGTGAGCGAAATCAAAGAAAAACTTGCGGTGAGCCCCCACACCACAAAAAATGAATTAGAGCGATAATGGGTTTGTTTGCAAACTTACCGAAGATCTTTTATTAGAAAATTTTCTTAAAAGCATTTAGCGAGAAGGAACTATTTAAATGATATCGGGATTTGAGTTCATTAGGTCTTTGTTCGCCACAGAAATGTTATTTATATATACATCTTTGTACTTTGACTTTTAGAAGATGTAAATTTTTGCACGATTTGCGGTCATTATTAAACTACAAAATATCACAAAAACGCATTTTCATGAATATCAGAGACAGTTTTGTTACAATAATTTTTAATATCGATAAGTTTTAATATTATTTTTTGCGGGATTGTCAGGGCTTGTGTCCAAGCGATTGAGATAGCTAGCCCAGGATTTGTAAATTTCACAGCTGTAGTAAAAATAAAGTTATTCGGCGGACTGAATGAAAAACTTGATAAAATCTCCAAGAATTATGTTTTCAGAGACAGACAGAGAGAGACCGATTGTAAAGATATTAAAATATTTTAAAATGTTTTCATCTTATATTGGACAGGTGAACTCCTTTCCGTTTCTTTTGAACACTATTGTCGTTACACTGGACAACAGAGCGCGAGAATTGTCTCTACCAGTGAGGATGCGTCGTGCTTCAAATGTTCAAGGTGGAAGACATGTCAAAACGAACAACTTTCTTTCCGTTATATGAAGGTTCGTGCTTTTCGTAAATGGATTTAAGAAAGGATTAACGGATAAAACTGTATCACTCAATTATTGAGATTGTTTTCAGCTTCTCATTTCACGCAATGAAGGTATTACATGTAAAAGTTGTTTGCAAAGAGGCAATGACTGGATCACAACAAGGTCTGTAGAACAGAGTGAAATCACCGAGTGAAAAATTTTCGAATTAAATGTTTGAAGTGCGACACGCTCGCTTGCGGCCTAATTTCGAAGCTGCTTTGCGTAACTTCTCAGTCTCCTAGTCTTTCTTGCAGACAACAGAACAGAACATAGAAAAATGAAATGAATACGTGATATTGTTTCAGTCGAAAGCTTTCACAGAATTCGCTGATATTTGCAGATCAGGCTGAAAGCTCGCCTGTGAGATTGTAGCTGATAGGGGTCCTGATACGGTTTTGAAAGTCTCGCCTCTGTTTCGTCGTTAAAAAACCACCGTAATTCGTTTTGTCTACATCTTGCCAAAGACAACATGCAAAAAAACAAAAATTGTTATGTATGGCATCTAGATTTAATTTTAACTCATATCCGAGCCATCCCTTCCAAGGAAACAAGTTTGGGTTTGGTCTCGCCAGTCTGTCTACTTTGTCAGTTGTATGGCGTTAGTGTTTCCTTTTAAATGCAACCGTTTCACGTTCGTGTTTTCCTATGTATTCAATCTAATTTTAGAAGTTATCAATTCCATCGTGAATAGGCCGATATGTTAAGTAACTGACTGAGTGACATGTTTTGCAGCCCTCGGCATTTCAGCCTCATTGCGCACAAAGCTTAAAATATGACGGGCGTATAACGGTTTTAATGGTTACCTGAGTTTGGAACAAAAGATACTTCGAGAGGCTCTTAGAAAGGCTCATCCACTTCTTTTCACTTTGCGTACAGCTTGAGGGCTTTCACAAACAGCAATACTGAAGGTCAAAATGTTCCGCTTGGTTTGCAGAATCGAAACAAACGTCTTTCACAAAAATTATCGTGCGAAACCTATTGAATGTGACCTATCTCCTTTCATCTTTGGGCGCCATTTTTATAGTCACTTTTCTTTTTCGCCGAAGTTGAACTTTACTCTTAACGAAAAACTTAGAAATGACTTCATTGGAATAAACAATTTGACGTCATTCTGACTCGCCCTGTAAAATCGTGGGCACAATCTCGACCTCGCGGATGAGAAAAAGGAAAGTTATGCTTGTACTTTCGGATGTGGGTCCGCTTTTGCTATTATGTTGTTTTTTTTCTTCCTTCTCTCTTTTGCGTTTTGCAAGGTCGCAGAGCGGAAGAATTGACTAGAATCATCCATTAGCTAGCCCTGCTGCGTAATTTCGAATATTCTACTAGTTATACGTTGAATTTAATTTTTGTTCTTTTTTGAAGGAGTCACTGCGACACTTAATTTAGTGTCACGCTACAATAACGGTTCTTATAATCGTGCATGAAAGTTGTATTTAACACAAAATATATATACCTTTAACTGAAAAGAAGAAGGGTTTGTCCGGCGTAGAAGTCACTAGAAATAACTGAAACGGTTTTGTATGCAAAGAAATCTAAGAAAAAACAACGCAAAAAAAAAGTGCGAGTGTCGGTTAAATTTAGCTACAAGGAGCTTAGCGAATTGTGTCAGCATAATTTTAATATCGACTTACATGAGCGAATGGTACTTAAGCGGGATTAAAACAAGATTTAGTCTTGGAAAGATGTCAAAACTTAGCTTCACCTGATACATATGCACGTACGATGTTGAAAAGCAGCTGAAAGATTAGATTTGGAATCCGGGCATTACAGAATTGTATCGATAGATTGGTGCCGTGGTTTCAGCAGAGAGCGAACGCATATTTTTACATGTATATAGTGAATAGAATTGAAATTCGCTTCCATTACTCGCCTCACGTGATGCTTAAATATTATTTTGAACCATCTATATTTATCAAAATCATAGACATTGGGTTAATAATTTTGTAAGGACGAACTAGAGATCGCTGTTGTTAAGGAGATGGCCCTGATAAACTCTATCGCGCAAAACCTCTTGTGTTGCGCTTTATATATATATTTTTTTTACTCCCGAGCACTTTTTTTCGTTTCATAGCGTCTATTTTTCGTCAAGCTGATTCGCTAGTTTGGCATCAAAACTCTTCTCGGATATTTCGCTATCAGTTTCTAAAACCTCTGTTCCACAACGGCGCGCAAAATATTTTGTCCAGTGGATCGCAAAGATGAGAAATGAACCCAGAATTACACAGAGCATAATTTATAAACTGCGATTTTTGAATTGGTTCAGTTTCTATTATGGAAATAGATGAGTTACAAAGTTGCCTACCAGCTTAGCTTTAGCAACCGAAATTTGAAATCCGATTCTTCACCGTTATCATAATTGCATTTAGTTTTGCATCCAATGTCTATTAAAAATGAAATTTGCAATATTGAATAGAGAATTTCACTTTCGCTAAGCAGATGCTTGATAGCCTTAGCGACGAGAACTTTCGTCGTTCCGACTTTGATCTAAAATCCAATCTCAAATTGATTAAAATCCACAGAGGTTTTAACAACAAAATAAAATAAAAATATCTTTAGAAGCGAACTAATATTTTACGGAATAATTGCACGAGATTTAGGACAAACATATATCACTGTATGTTTACTCTACACTTTTAAAAGAGTGTTACATGAACGAAGCTTAATGTTGAGAGTTCTCGTAAAATTACTCTTCAAACATCGCAGATTTTGAGAAGCATTTTAACTTTGCAAAGTTCTAGTCATACTAGGAGAGAGATTAATAAAAAATTGATCCGTAATTCAATCAAACGTAATAACCAAGCCGACAAAATATATGGAGACTGCAGTAATTAAACAGCACAGATTGAGTGTCGTGCTTTCACAGACCTTTTAATCACAAGCTAGATTGGTTTCTAAATTTCTTTTAGCAAACGTTGATTATTTTAAGAGTTTTGTTATTTATATTTGTTTATACTTAGAATTGCTTTTCTTTTCCAGATCGAGCAGAGAGTAGGAAGGAGAAAGGGAAAAAAGTAAAGTTAGTGGTGGGAAAGGTTCTCTACGAGAGGCCATGTTTGTCGCAATGGAGAAAAGAGGTCAATGATACAACCTCAATAAGCTTGTTTTGTAATCTGATGATAAAAGAACTTGCTCTGTTTTTCACATCGTGTAGTCAGGGCGCTTAAAGTATTCAGTAGGAAAAATTATGTTTTTTATGCCATTGAATAAATCCCTTATTGCCCAACCTTGTCAGGTCAACATGGCTGAATATTGCCCTCTTTCTCTTTTGCATGATTATGGACCTTGTTTGCCTCCCGATCCAGTGCAAGTAAAGAAAAAGCAGTTGGACGATTTCCATCCATATTGACCTCACACTCGGTCAATAAGGCACATGCATTCTCTTGAGACTCAAAGCATCGCCACTAAAAAAGCATAAGTTTCCTCAGGAAGTTGAAAACATAGTCGACATTCAAGACTCTGGTGACGCTATTTTCAAATGGAAAGTTCAAGTCGATTGGTTTCAGTTGCCGATCGTGATCGTCCAAATGAGATTAGTTTGAAACTGAACAAAGACTTGTTAGAATCGACAGCCTGTGGAATCCGTCTTCTGATCAATCATTTGTTTCTCATAACTCGCACGCGTCCTTGCAAGCCGATACCATGCACTCTACAAACAACTGTTACAGCGTTGTCTCTTGTTCATGTCTAAAGTCTCTGTGTGAATATTTGCAGTTTATAATTGACAAAAAGTTGATCTCTTGTAATGTGCCCTCCCGCTCCTATGCCAGCAAAAATATGATCATGTAGAAGCCGTAGACATGAAATTAAACGCCAGTGCGCTAATGCTATCCTTGAAGCTTCAATTCAAGAGGAAGCTAATGAATATTTACCAGCGACAAATCACGCGTCGATAAGACTTATAATAAAGTCTGCATACGTGTTCACTTAAAGCTTGAAGAACATCTTTCTCTTAAGTTGGCATGGTGTGGCTATAGTCCTTTACCTCAAAGAAGGAAATTATTTCACTCCATTTGCTAGTTTACTTCTTAGTAACACGACATGGCACAAAAACTTAAATCACATGATACTAAGTCCCGTAAACTCCTAATGCTATTGTACTCACCCGTTTGCTTCAAGGACTTGGAGTCTGTAAGTTCTTGGTTGTTTTATGTGGTTTCCTGTTACTGTTTTCGGCTTCAGGACTTCTGCTGGCCCCTTTGTGCATGACGTGACAAAATCGGTCTTTGTAAAATGACAGGTCACTGTCTTGGCTGGTATCCATGGTGCCCCCACGTCAGTTTGCCACGTGACATTTATAGCACATTATTTTAGCTTACAATAGACCCTAATAAACACGATCTAACTTCTTAACATTGACCTTTTTGTCATTTTATTGTGATTGTTGAAGTTCGATTAAGTCGAACAGAATTTTCCATGCACTTTAAATTTTTGTCGCGCTCGGAGTACAGGACTTAGTACTTTTCTACCAGACATTTTTCGGGAAGACATGCACCGAAGGTCAGAATCTCAAACCGGTTGTTTCCCCTCCCCCATCCCCCCATCTGTCTCAGTAATCCCCTCTCACTTAGGTTTGACCGGTGTTGAACTAGAATCTAAACAGTACAGAGGAACACACCAACGGGCTCGGAAGCCATAGGGCCATAGAAGATTCAGTGTAGTATTACGTAGGACCAACCTAACGTAGGATTTAGCAGTGTGGCGCAAGTCAACAGAATGGCTCTTCCCCCTCTGCCTCCACTGTTTCTAGATCGAATTAGAATTTAGAAGTGTTGGATTTTGTGGCGGGAGAGAAGAAAACCCTCCGAGCGAAGATGGGACACAACGACAAGCTCCACCCACATATGACGCTTGGTGAAGGATTCGAACTGGGCCACATTGACGATAAACGACTGCGCTATTCCTACACCTCAAACAGATTAGTCACTGAAACTAGGGAAGCTTTTTATAGGAATAACTGAAGATATTGTAAATAAGGTAGGCTCTGTAAAACAAGTAAATGTTAAAAATATTGTTAAGAAGACGCTTAATGGCGGTATAAATCAACCGACGTTTCGGGACTACTGCCTTCTTCAGGGTTTTCAAGCTGCCACGTAAAATAACGAGATTGTCATTTGCAGTCGTGTGCTGTTTTGAGACTGTTTGCGCGTACGAAAAAATGCACGCGCGTGTCTCGAGACTTATAAAATAAATGTAAATCCCCTGCCTAGTTTTAATGTTGCAAAACAAAGAATTTTTTTTAAATCTTTGTTCAAGACCAATTAAGAGCCAATTTTTTTATATGCACTTTACAAGATTCTGCTCGAAAACCACGCCATATAGAGTGCGGGCTTCAGTCCCGTAAAACTAAAAAAAGACAAAGAACGCAGACAATCCAAACTGACGCGGCGTACGGGAAAACGTGTGCGAGCGAATCACAATTTGGTTGTGGTTTTATTAACTCGGAGTGGATCATAAAGTGGCGAGAGTGTTTTTCCCAGTGAAGCCAATCGGTAGCGTAGTAGAGATGTCTTCAAATGAGTGACGTAAACCTAAATCTGGCCAATCACAAATTGCACACGCAATCCAGTGAGCCAATCAAAACTCGAAGCGAATACATGAAGCTTACGCCGAAGCGCGGGAAAACGTGTGCCAGCGAGTCTCGATTGGTTTTGGTTTTACTTCTGATTGGATGACAAATTAAAGGGCGCTATTTTTTTTTTTATGCCAAACGCTTAGCGTAGTTGAAGCAAACCCAAAGCAAGTGCTTATTATACGTTGCAAGTGAAAACTGCAGTCTAGCCCAAAACACAGGCGAATAGTCCTAATCACGGTTTTCGACGCCATCTTGGCGGGTAGGCAAAGCGGTCAGAAATTACAGTGTTTGTATGGGAATCCGATGGCAAATAACTTTTTGTAAAATCGAATTTTATCCGATTTGTGACTCGTAATGTTAAAATACTAGGTGAAGATTGTTTTCACCAAGTTTGAAGGGTGTAGCTTGGCTACAAGACGCTCAGTTAATTTTTCTAATTTTCCATACATTTGTCTGTAAATTTGGCTGGGTAGACGCGGTTCGCGGGAAAAAAATTTACAGACAAGTATTTGGAAAAGTAGAAAAATTAACTGAGGCTCTTCTAGCCAAGCTACATCCTTCAAACTTGGTAAATACAATCTTCTACATAGTCTTTTAGCGTTGCGATCCACAAATTGTGAATCGCTGCACCCTCGTCAACTATTATGCGATAGAAATCTCGAAATACATCACAGATGACATCAAAAAAGTGAAATCGCACACGAGCCCTTAGGCGAGTGTGTCACTAATAGCTACTAATGATGTTCTTACCACATGTTGATGTCTTCTGTGACCTATTGCTGAAAAGACTCTCGGCAACATGGAATGTATTTGGTTTATGTTGTAAAGAAACAAAAAACAAAATGTTACTTCATCCATACCTCTGTCCTCCAATACATCATAGTAAAAACCAATCAAATTGCGAGAATAATTTCACTTACACCCCCCTCCACCACCTACTATACAAAAAATTTTTGAGTTAAATTCCTCAGTTTGAAAATATGAAATTAAGGCAGTTACGTACTGTTTATGCCCGGCGCTTTTTACCTCGACATCTCTGCACGTATAGTCTTGTGCTCCAACTACAAACCTTGAACTTTAATTATTAAATCTACTCAACACGTAACATGTCATAACAGAAGTTTATAACTCTTTTTTAAACTTCTGCTCGTACATGTTGGCGCCGGGAACTGTACGCCGGTGACATCTTTACCTGAATCTTCCTGTCTACCCGAATGTAGTAGACTTTTCCACGCTCACAAAATGTACGTCATCATGGAGACAAGCTGGCTCAGCTAAATAGCCCTTATCATGATTAATTACGTCATGTTTTACGCACAGAAAGGTCAGTTGAATCGGTTGCGTCGTGCGTGAAGGAAGTGCGTGATCCTCCATTTCCAGCTGTTGTTAGCAACGACAAACATAATAAATTAAGCGTAAATGAGTCTAGAATGACTTAAAAGGACGTCATAGTTAACTTGAAAGGTTGTTTGGATAAAAAAATGATCACCATTCTTCTGAGAAAATGCGATATGTTTTACTTCTAGAACTGTGACCGCTAAGAAATCGACTTCCCGTTGCATTTTCTATTTTGTTATTCATGCAGATACGATAACCATAAAAGAAACTTTGTCTTAAGCTTATCAGTTTACTTTATTCACACCCTCTAGTACGTCTCACAAATTTACATTTTCTCTAGTTTTTGCTCTTAATTAATCAGTGGGGCATGCACAGTTGGGCTCTTATAATATATTGGACACTAACTGGAAGCTAGTGGGTCTTCCAAAAACCCTTTTAACGCGCGGGGGCTGTTTTACTCTAGGGGACACTTGATGCTGAAAGGCGAATCATACGGTGATTTAAATCTTCTGTGAAGTCACTTTAAATTTTCTTTTTTTTTTTTTTTCGTTTTTTTTTCCCACTCCTCTGTCGCTCCTCGCAAAAAGTTGATATCGCTATAACGAATTGAAGGCTGTCACCCGCAATGATCCTCTGTAATTTCCGTGTAGTTAATTACTTCAATTCTAGGAAAGTTTTGGAAACGATCTACTAACTAAATTCTCCGCCAGTTTTTCCTGTCCTTTATGTGGTTATATTAAACTTACCGAACCGGGAAGAAAAGAAAACGTTTACTTGAATCCCGCCCCCTGGCCCAACAGGAAGTCGAATGGCCCCGCTAATCTCTGAAGTATGTTGCTAAAATTTGCCTGTTCAGTGTAATATGCAGAGTACATTATCAAATCCAATTTAAACAAAGACTTCCTGAGCTTCAATAGATCTCCATGTGTTCATTCGACTGACGTACCTTCATGATTGAAACTTTTAAAAATGACTACAACAAGAACCATTTGAGGTAAGGAGAGGGTCAAGTTTTTCTATAATGGTTACACCGACTCGAATCTGTTACTATATGCCTAAATAAGACGGGATGACTTGACCTAAATGTTGTCTTTGTACTTCATGAGTTCATTGACCGAGTTGTGTTGCGTTTTGACTGTTAATTATATTGAATACATAGACCATTGCGCGATGAATTCGAATAGCGGTCAGATCGCTCCATACCACGGTCAGAACTCTGCAAGTCAGATCGTTCCACTATATAGTTAGGCCGTCAGTTAATTAAAAAAGCCGCGTACTCGATATTTATATCGATTCACGGAACGAGTCTATACAAATGCATTACCATCTTAACTCTACAGAGGAACCTCGACATAACGAAGGGCCAAGGGACTGGCAAAATTATTCACTATATAAATGAGGTTTCGTTGTATCGAGGTTCTTTTCCATACACTTTAGTTTTACTGGGGCGAGAAAATCGTTCGTTATGCCGAGGACTTCGTTATATAGAGGTTCGTTAAATCGAGGTTCCACTGTATTAGAACTTACTTTCTTCAATTCACTTCCCGGTTCCAAAATATTCGAGCTAAAATCTTTTCTTTTCCTTCAGAAACGGCACTTTACAGGGGCGGATCTACAGGGGAGGGTGCAGGGGGTGCCACCCCCCCCCCCCACCCTGAGATGAAGTCCACTTCTTATTCACTTTTAAAATTTGTTTACCTCACCGGTCAGTTCCTTAGTGGTGCAACCCCTCCTAAGGAAAAAAAACCTGGATCCGCCCCTGCTTTACTTAAACTTACAAGTACAGGCACTTGTTAATGTTTATATTATCGACTGTAGCTCCATCGGTTATATAATTACGCATCCTTCCGGTATGAGCAATCAGTGATGAAAGGAGTACTCAGAACTCGAAGCGGCTCCTCGAATATAGAGGAGCGATCTATATTTATCTCACTATTTTAATATAAGTTGAACGATCTGACTTTTTTTGTGGAACGACTCTGACCAGATACCGTTTAATTTGAATTGTCCATTCATTCATTCCTCCTGAGATGAGGAAAAGAGCAAGGTCCTTTAAACTGAAAGGATAAACGGTCCGGAAACGTCAATCTCAAAAATTAATTCTGAGAATTTTCCCAATTTGAGAAAATCTGATGTTCTCGACATTATTTTTACACATTCCGATATATTATAACCAAATTCCTCATATTTTTTTGTGTCTCCCGATTCCTGCCAAAATTGCTATTCTCTGGGTGGAAGAAAGAGGCGTAGAGGGCTGACATACTTAGTAATTGCACTCTGGAATAACTATTTTTATTTTTACATTAAAAAAGAAACCCTGTGTAGGGGTTTTGGTGTTCGAAGGGGTGGGGTTAAAAATTATTTTTGTTACTCTTGTAAACTTTTTTTCAAGGTATGCTTCCTTGTATTCAAAGGAAAGGCTAGAAATGCATTTTGTAGAGAATTCCATTTGAATTCGTCTTTGCACCCAATTCATTTAATTTTGTTGGACTGACTTTTAATTTACACAAAATTCAGAAATTTAAATACAAGAAAACCACCGTAATAAATGCCACAAAGTTAATCTAGTTTTTCATTATAGCTTTCTTGGTTAGCAGGAGATGTATATAAAAACAAAACTGGGAAGAACAATAAGTCTTGGTTCAGAGAAGGTTTTCGCACAGCTGTGCTCTACCCGGAGCAATTGCGGTAACCCAATTGAAAGTTTTAGGATGCTGATTGGCCGAAATGATCAAATCCGTTCATCTGATTGGCTCACTTCTCTTTGAGCGACGTCCGGTAGGGATTCGAATGCAGCGCGCGAGGTTACTCAAGTAGAAAAAGAAAGAGGCAAGCCTTTTCCAATTCAACAGCTTTCGAGAGCTTTCTTTTGATATTCAAATTTTTCAGCGTCACAAGGGAATGTCGAGGTAAGCTGGCTGAATTAAAACTGAATGACGCAGCTTTGATTTTCAATAGAGGCTGCCCGTATTTGCAGATTGCATGCTGTTGTTTATTTTTGTACTCATGCTCTTTGTTGTATGGAACTCAGATCTGGGCGAATCGGTAAACAAAAGAGAATTAACGAGGACAAGGCATGTTTCAAGGTATGGAAACCATTTTTTCGTCTAACGCGTTAAGATATCATTCGTATTTTAACTGAGTTTTACATTGTTGCTACGTTGCACATAGATCTTTTGCTGTGAGCTTAGTTAACGAACGACAATTCCTTTAGAGATCAGATTGAATTCTCTTGTTTGTTGTGACGCTTTCTGTCTTTCTTTATACGTTCTGTTCTGCATGCGCTGATTAAAGTTCTTCAGTCACTCTCTTATAATGAAGAGCAACTTATCTTTCTGTTAGGAGTCTCGACAGACCAGAACACTTAGTGACAATTAGCTTTGTTGTAAACATTATTTCATCCGTGACTGCCCAGTAATTCCGAGCAATTTGGTGATGGATATCGGCCCGTATGGCGGTGCCAAAGATTATTCATTGCTTTGTTCACCATATTCGCCGTGTTAACTTCGATTGACGCTACCTTCTAAAACATCGATAGGGACGGGAACAGGATATCTTTTACGCAAACTTGAACGATTTGTTTTCAAGTGGAGAGAGTCGTTAAGACTTAAACTTTTTTACGCTACTCAACTCAACGATGTAAACATCAAAGATATATATGTCGTAGGCAGAGGTATGTTATCTTCTTCCATTCGATCATAACAAAACTCGTCGAAAATTGTGTCGCACGATTATTGTAATTACTAGTAGATGTAAATAACAATTGTCCTTTAAGAGAGAAAATAGATTTCTAATAGTTTAAGGCGGAGGAACATTTAGAAAAGTCATCAAATAATAAAGAAGTTTTCAAGTCATGGACGTTCTTTCTTTCACCGATCGTTAGAGCAAAGTCGCGTTATAGATTTCGTTTTGATATTGCGATTAAAAATTCATAGCCGAGCGAAACCACAACAAAGTGGTACAACTCATTTTGAAAATGAAATCTAAACTATCACAGAGAAACAGATGGCAGTTCAGTTTGTGAAAATTTGACTGAGAAAGACTAAAACTTCTTCTGTAGAAAAGCGAATTTTGTTCTTCAAGCTTTTTGCAAAGTGCGTACGTAGGAGGGCATACATGTGCAAAAAATTCCGCATAGGATGGACTTCTCGTCGGAATACTTCTTTCAAAACAAAGCCAGCCTGGTGTTCTAAATAATTTATACCTGTTTGATCTAGGAAATCAAAGTGTGTTAGGTGCAGTTGTTTACAAGGGCAGGATGTGGGTCTGTAAAATGATATGGTTTTAGTAGTAGATGATAGAGGAAGTTGAAAACCCACCAATAATTGTAGAATTTTAGTCGATGTCTTACATCTGACTAGATTTCCTTATTTTTGTCATATTATGTCTGACAAGGTGTGGCAACTAATTGACATGATGATTTGAACAAAACATTATTTTTTTATTTTCTTCGACCTCTGTAGAGATGGGTTTGTTTTTGTCATCAACACATTTTTCAGCCACGTCAGTTCTCTGTTTAGTCGTTGTCTTAGATACGACAATAATAATATACCTTATTATTCAATCTCACAAATATACTTCCTGTATGAAATTTTATGTGGGCAGTATTAATTGCCCCTGCAGTTTCCAGATATTACAACAGATACTGTTGCAAAAACTGTAAATTTTAGGGGCTTTTCATGAAAGCAAATGTTAAGTTGGCTATGTGGTACTCAAATGAAGTTAGTATCTCTCAGGACTGCTACCGTCCTACATGTGTAAACTAAGGGATTTCATCTCTGCAAGTGAAAAGAGTTCTATTCCCTTTGTGGGATGAAATCCCTTGAATGGTAGTGAGCTGCAAGACTTTTTTGTATAAGGTCAGATTGGAGCAGGCATGTTTATTTAGGTAGTGAATTGTGGACGTTGAGATATAAAATCTGCATCAGCCGAAGTGTCCTACACCAAAAAAGCTTATTCCAGATTTACCCAGGTTGCCTCCCCTCCCTCCCCTGAACAGATGCTATGCTACTCCACCACAAGGTTACCCCTTCATATCAAAATTGCTGGCACCCATTATACACCTGATGGCAGAAAGAAGCTTTCTCAAAACATTCTGTTGAACACAGCAGCCAGGAAAATGAGAAAAGTAGTTGTACTAGTAAGGGACCTGGTTTTAAATTTCAGTATGAAGTATGAGGCAAATGATCTCCTGGTAGCAAAATTGCCTGATAGGATACACATTGAAAGGACTGAGAGAGGTGCCATAAATGAGTGAATTTTCTTGCCCAAGAACACAATGTAATGGCTTGAATGCAGACCTCTTAGTCAAAAGTCCAGTGCGCAAACCATAATAACATCACTTCTCCTGTAAGGGCAGTGGCAATATGAAGATGATACAGAGTGAGTAAATAGCGTAGCACTCATAGAAAGTGAAACTTTTTGTTATGGCATATGTGAGAGTGTAAGGAAAAAGTAGTACAGTACAATACTGCCTAGCCATGAAATCTCTTTGAACTACTAGCACTGGGAAGGAAGTTTCAAGTCCTACATGTGTCCTAGAAGTGCAAGGACAATCTTTGATGAGTGACCACAGTTTGACCAGGTCAGAGTAGCTTCCACAATTACTTCAAGTCTTTTAACATTATTTAGAAATTTGTAAATTTAATAAATGTAGTAATGCATGAAATACAATTATACAGGCTTGCAAGCCCACCATCCAAGGATCATTCCACCATCTAAAATTTTTGTTTTGTTTTGTTTAGAAAAATCCTCCCAGAATATTCTATATAAAGTATATTGCTATTACATAAATTAATATCTGATCTATGTTGGCTTGATATACATATAATTACATAATTTTTTGAGTTGACACCTGACATGAAATTTAGCTTAACTGAAAGAAATTTCATTATGATGTGTTATGGTTGAAGGTATCATGTACAGTGCAAAATGACATTTAGATGTTTAATTTGAAAACTGAATTTAAAAATATTGCAACGAGAAGAACACAGAGAACAATATACAGTGCATGGGATTGTACTAATTATTTCTTATGACTATATGAAATGATTCTTACACATGTTTACAACATTTATATTTTTCTGATAAATAATCTTATATAGTCTATACTCTGAAACATATCAGTACTCAAAATCAGTAGAGAAGAAAAATATGATTTATAAATTAAGTCTTTTATTGACCTGTGGGAATTCTGATCTACAACGAGAAATTGACACCCAGCTTTCCAACATTTTCAATATTAACAGTTCCAAGCTGACATTTGATGAGAGTAAAGAAAACCCATTGTGCTATTATGTTACTAAGTTCTCAGAACTTGAAAATTGAAGAAATATATGACGTTCAATTCATGAAGGGGAATATTCTTTTGATCTTGGGAATGAAGGGTTGAAAATTATTTGAAATATAATTTAAAGGGCTTGTAAACCACCGAGGAGCTTAAGCTTGCAGGTTAGTGTTCTTGAGTCATGGATTTAAATCAAAAGTCTAATGTTCTCCTCATTAATTTGCAACCTACAGTTTGACTTCTTGTTAAATGTATCAAGTTAGATGCATTAAAAGGACTTAAGAGCCTTGCAATTCATTGGTCAGCAGGAGTGAAACTGCACCAAAAACAAATGATATCAACTTCCGTTCGCTGTCTGAGGCTCAAAATGACTATGATTCATCTACCTCCCAGATACCTCAATATCGGTTGAGAGATGAATGTTTTTTCCCCTATAAAAGTCATGTGGTTTTTGAAATATAAGAGGATTCAGGACACAGGACAAGTATAGTTTGTGCACAGCGAGATACAAATACAACTTTATGTAGTTCTTATGTTGTTAATCCGACCCGTAATCAATTATTTATAGAAATGAATAACCTTGTGGTTAATAAGTAGACTTGTTCAATTGAATGTTAATTTATGCAGACGCCGAAGTTTGTTTGGTGTCAGTGAAAGTAACCTTTTGGCATCAAAACTGTTGTTTGACTTGTGTCGTAATTATCTCTGTCGGCTTGAAAACTCCCTGTTCATGACAGCTTGAATTTCAAGTTGCTTTTGTTATCGTTGAACAGGAAACTTTGTGTACACTTAATGTTAGCTTTCCAAACAACAAGCTGCATTTTTAGCAGTAGCTCACTAATTTGTCTCTAGGGAAAGTATGTTGTAACCTGATACTTCAGGAAATAGTTGTGTAGTGAAAAGAAACTTTACATAATTTTGTTCATACCGCAATGTCTTCTCACCAGGAAGGTAGGATGTGTTTCTAGAAAAAATGTTTAGTTTAGCATCAGTGATAAAACTACAATTAATTACTTACTTCAAATTACATGTAAGTTGTGGCTGTTATTTAATAAGATTATCTTCCATGCTTACAATAATTAATATACACAATGTTATTACTAACTTACATGTATGAAAAGTTAAAATGTAGTACTAATAAGGGTTCCAAAACTGATGCATTTTTGACACAAATATTTATTGAAAACGGTTTACTTAGACGATATAGAACTTACTAAAATAATAGTTACTGTAGCAAGAAATGTTGCAATTTTGAAACTGATATTCAACCTAAAAGTGAAATGTAGACTTTTCCGTTTATTATTGAGTCAGCAGATGTGATTTACTGTCAAGATTTATGTATGTTATCAGATATTAACAGAATGTTTGAAAAGGTCAGACCATTATTGTTTAATATTGCAGTTGTCCTCTTGGAATGATTGTGATGATTTCAACTGTACTCTAGAGATTCTGAAGAGTTTAAATCATTGTTTAGAGCAGAGAAAGCCTTTTATTTGGAGTTTATTTTATCATAATTGGCAGTTTACAGTTGATTTTAGACCTCCAAAGTGAGCGGGCTTTTTTTTTGAAATTCTTGTGTTGTCAAAGAAATAGCATTCTTCATGTAAAAGTTATTATGGACAAATTTTGAACTCTCTGAGAATACTTGTGATCTATTTCTCCGACATATTGAGCTTGTCTGGTATTTGGAAAACTGGAAATATTCATTATTCTCTTAAGTTTGAATTGTTGTGGCCAGAAAAAGAATCACTAATTTGGCTTTCTTAATTGACCCCAAAAAAATTCGTAAAAAATAGAGTTCTGCTGATTCAAGTATCCAAACATTACAACCTTGAAATCAGCCCAACTAAGTATGAAAATTTGTACTGGAAGCACTTTTCTTNCCCCCCCCCCCCCCCACCCTGAGATGAAGTCCACTTCTTATTCACTTTTAAAATTTGTTTACCTCACCGGTCAGTTCCTTAGTGGTGCAACCCCTCCTAAGGAAAAAAAACCTGGATCCGCCCCTGCTTTACTTAAACTTACAAGTACAGGCACTTGTTAATGTTTATATTATCGACTGTAGCTCCATCGGTTATATAATTACGCATCCTTCCGGTATGAGCAATCAGTGATGAAAGGAGTACTCAGAACTCGAAGCGGCTCCTCGAATATAGAGGAGCGATCTATATTTATCTCACTATTTTAATATAAGTTGAACGATCTGACTTTTTTTGTGGAACGACTCTGACCAGATACCGTTTAATTTGAATTGTCCATTCATTCATTCCTCCTGAGATGAGGAAAAGAGCAAGGTCCTTTAAACTGAAAGGATAAACGGTCCGGAAACGTCAATCTCAAAAATTAATTCTGAGAATTTTCCCAATTTGAGAAAATCTGATGTTCTCGACATTATTTTTACACATTCCGATATATTATAACCAAATTCCTCATATTTTTTTGTGTCTCCCGATTCCTGCCAAAATTGCTATTCTCTGGGTGGAAGAAAGAGGCGTAGAGGGCTGACATACTTAGTAATTGCACTCTGGAATAACTATTTTTATTTTTACATTAAAAAAGAAACCCTGTGTAGGGGTTTTGGTGTTCGAAGGGGTGGGGTTAAAAATTATTTTTGTTACTCTTGTAAACTTTTTTTCAAGGTATGCTTCCTTGTATTCAAAGGAAAGGCTAGAAATGCATTTTGTAGAGAATTCCATTTGAATTCGTCTTTGCACCCAATTCATTTAATTTTGTTGGACTGACTTTTAATTTACACAAAATTCAGAAATTTAAATACAAGAAAACCACCGTAATAAATGCCACAAAGTTAATCTAGTTTTTCATTATAGCTTTCTTGGTTAGCAGGAGATGTATATAAAAACAAAACTGGGAAGAACAATAAGTCTTGGTTCAGAGAAGGTTTTCGCACAGCTGTGCTCTACCCGGAGCAATTGCGGTAACCCAATTGAAAGTTTTAGGATGCTGATTGGCCGAAATGATCAAATCCGTTCATCTGATTGGCTCACTTCTCTTTGAGCGACGTCCGGTAGGGATTCGAATGCAGCGCGCGAGGTTACTCAAGTAGAAAAAGAAAGAGGCAAGCCTTTTCCAATTCAACAGCTTTCGAGAGCTTTCTTTTGATATTCAAATTTTTCAGCGTCACAAGGGAATGTCGAGGTAAGCTGGCTGAATTAAAACTGAATGACGCAGCTTTGATTTTCAATAGAGGCTGCCCGTATTTGCAGATTGCATGCTGTTGTTTATTTTTGTACTCATGCTCTTTGTTGTATGGAACTCAGATCTGGGCGAATCGGTAAACAAAAGAGAATTAACGAGGACAAGGCATGTTTCAAGGTATGGAAACCATTTTTTCGTCTAACGCGTTAAGATATCATTCGTATTTTAACTGAGTTTTACATTGTTGCTACGTTGCACATAGATCTTTTGCTGTGAGCTTAGTTAACGAACGACAATTCCTTTAGAGATCAGATTGAATTCTCTTGTTTGTTGTGACGCTTTCTGTCTTTCTTTATACGTTCTGTTCTGCATGCGCTGATTAAAGTTCTTCAGTCACTCTCTTATAATGAAGAGCAACTTATCTTTCTGTTAGGAGTCTCGACAGACCAGAACACTTAGTGACAATTAGCTTTGTTGTAAACATTATTTCATCCGTGACTGCCCAGTAATTCCGAGCAATTTGGTGATGGATATCGGCCCGTATGGCGGTGCCAAAGATTATTCATTGCTTTGTTCACCATATTCGCCGTGTTAACTTCGATTGACGCTACCTTCTAAAACATCGATAGGGACGGGAACAGGATATCTTTTACGCAAACTTGAACGATTTGTTTTCAAGTGGAGAGAGTCGTTAAGACTTAAACTTTTTTACGCTACTCAACTCAACGATGTAAACATCAAAGATATATATGTCGTAGGCAGAGGTATGTTATCTTCTTCCATTCGATCATAACAAAACTCGTCGAAAATTGTGTCGCACGATTATTGTAATTACTAGTAGATGTAAATAACAATTGTCCTTTAAGAGAGAAAATAGATTTCTAATAGTTTAAGGCGGAGGAACATTTAGAAAAGTCATCAAATAATAAAGAAGTTTTCAAGTCATGGACGTTCTTTCTTTCACCGATCGTTAGAGCAAAGTCGCGTTATAGATTTCGTTTTGATATTGCGATTAAAAATTCATAGCCGAGCGAAACCACAACAAAGTGGTACAACTCATTTTGAAAATGAAATCTAAACTATCACAGAGAAACAGATGGCAGTTCAGTTTGTGAAAATTTGACTGAGAAAGACTAAAACTTCTTCTGTAGAAAAGCGAATTTTGTTCTTCAAGCTTTTTGCAAAGTGCGTACGTAGGAGGGCATACATGTGCAAAAAATTCCGCATAGGATGGACTTCTCGTCGGAATACTTCTTTCAAAACAAAGCCAGCCTGGTGTTCTAAATAATTTATACCTGTTTGATCTAGGAAATCAAAGTGTGTTAGGTGCAGTTGTTTACAAGGGCAGGATGTGGGTCTGTAAAATGATATGGTTTTAGTAGTAGATGATAGAGGAAGTTGAAAACCCACCAATAATTGTAGAATTTTAGTCGATGTCTTACATCTGACTAGATTTCCTTATTTTTGTCATATTATGTCTGACAAGGTGTGGCAACTAATTGACATGATGATTTGAACAAAACATTATTTTTTTATTTTCTTCGACCTCTGTAGAGATGGGTTTGTTTTTGTCATCAACACATTTTTCAGCCACGTCAGTTCTCTGTTTAGTCGTTGTCTTAGATACGACAATAATAATATACCTTATTATTCAATCTCACAAATATACTTCCTGTATGAAATTTTATGTGGGCAGTATTAATTGCCCCTGCAGTTTCCAGATATTACAACAGATACTGTTGCAAAAACTGTAAATTTTAGGGGCTTTTCATGAAAGCAAATGTTAAGTTGGCTATGTGGTACTCAAATGAAGTTAGTATCTCTCAGGACTGCTACCGTCCTACATGTGTAAACTAAGGGATTTCATCTCTGCAAGTGAAAAGAGTTCTATTCCCTTTGTGGGATGAAATCCCTTGAATGGTAGTGAGCTGCAAGACTTTTTTGTATAAGGTCAGATTGGAGCAGGCATGTTTATTTAGGTAGTGAATTGTGGACGTTGAGATATAAAATCTGCATCAGCCGAAGTGTCCTACACCAAAAAAGCTTATTCCAGATTTACCCAGGTTGCCTCCCCTCCCTCCCCTGAACAGATGCTATGCTACTCCACCACAAGGTTACCCCTTCATATCAAAATTGCTGGCACCCATTATACACCTGATGGCAGAAAGAAGCTTTCTCAAAACATTCTGTTGAACACAGCAGCCAGGAAAATGAGAAAAGTAGTTGTACTAGTAAGGGACCTGGTTTTAAATTTCAGTATGAAGTATGAGGCAAATGATCTCCTGGTAGCAAAATTGCCTGATAGGATACACATTGAAAGGACTGAGAGAGGTGCCATAAATGAGTGAATTTTCTTGCCCAAGAACACAATGTAATGGCTTGAATGCAGACCTCTTAGTCAAAAGTCCAGTGCGCAAACCATAATAACATCACTTCTCCTGTAAGGGCAGTGGCAATATGAAGATGATACAGAGTGAGTAAATAGCGTAGCACTCATAGAAAGTGAAACTTTTTGTTATGGCATATGTGAGAGTGTAAGGAAAAAGTAGTACAGTACAATACTGCCTAGCCATGAAATCTCTTTGAACTACTAGCACTGGGAAGGAAGTTTCAAGTCCTACATGTGTCCTAGAAGTGCAAGGACAATCTTTGATGAGTGACCACAGTTTGACCAGGTCAGAGTAGCTTCCACAATTACTTCAAGTCTTTTAACATTATTTAGAAATTTGTAAATTTAATAAATGTAGTAATGCATGAAATACAATTATACAGGCTTGCAAGCCCACCATCCAAGGATCATTCCACCATCTAAAATTTTTGTTTTGTTTTGTTTAGAAAAATCCTCCCAGAATATTCTATATAAAGTATATTGCTATTACATAAATTAATATCTGATCTATGTTGGCTTGATATACATATAATTACATAATTTTTTGAGTTGACACCTGACATGAAATTTAGCTTAACTGAAAGAAATTTCATTATGATGTGTTATGGTTGAAGGTATCATGTACAGTGCAAAATGACATTTAGATGTTTAATTTGAAAACTGAATTTAAAAATATTGCAACGAGAAGAACACAGAGAACAATATACAGTGCATGGGATTGTACTAATTATTTCTTATGACTATATGAAATGATTCTTACACATGTTTACAACATTTATATTTTTCTGATAAATAATCTTATATAGTCTATACTCTGAAACATATCAGTACTCAAAATCAGTAGAGAAGAAAAATATGATTTATAAATTAAGTCTTTTATTGACCTGTGGGAATTCTGATCTACAACGAGAAATTGACACCCAGCTTTCCAACATTTTCAATATTAACAGTTCCAAGCTGACATTTGATGAGAGTAAAGAAAACCCATTGTGCTATTATGTTACTAAGTTCTCAGAACTTGAAAATTGAAGAAATATATGACGTTCAATTCATGAAGGGGAATATTCTTTTGATCTTGGGAATGAAGGGTTGAAAATTATTTGAAATATAATTTAAAGGGCTTGTAAACCACCGAGGAGCTTAAGCTTGCAGGTTAGTGTTCTTGAGTCATGGATTTAAATCAAAAGTCTAATGTTCTCCTCATTAATTTGCAACCTACAGTTTGACTTCTTGTTAAATGTATCAAGTTAGATGCATTAAAAGGACTTAAGAGCCTTGCAATTCATTGGTCAGCAGGAGTGAAACTGCACCAAAAACAAATGATATCAACTTCCGTTCGCTGTCTGAGGCTCAAAATGACTATGATTCATCTACCTCCCAGATACCTCAATATCGGTTGAGAGATGAATGTTTTTTCCCCTATAAAAGTCATGTGGTTTTTGAAATATAAGAGGATTCAGGACACAGGACAAGTATAGTTTGTGCACAGCGAGATACAAATACAACTTTATGTAGTTCTTATGTTGTTAATCCGACCCGTAATCAATTATTTATAGAAATGAATAACCTTGTGGTTAATAAGTAGACTTGTTCAATTGAATGTTAATTTATGCAGACGCCGAAGTTTGTTTGGTGTCAGTGAAAGTAACCTTTTGGCATCAAAACTGTTGTTTGACTTGTGTCGTAATTATCTCTGTCGGCTTGAAAACTCCCTGTTCATGACAGCTTGAATTTCAAGTTGCTTTTGTTATCGTTGAACAGGAAACTTTGTGTACACTTAATGTTAGCTTTCCAAACAACAAGCTGCATTTTTAGCAGTAGCTCACTAATTTGTCTCTAGGGAAAGTATGTTGTAACCTGATACTTCAGGAAATAGTTGTGTAGTGAAAAGAAACTTTACATAATTTTGTTCATACCGCAATGTCTTCTCACCAGGAAGGTAGGATGTGTTTCTAGAAAAAATGTTTAGTTTAGCATCAGTGATAAAACTACAATTAATTACTTACTTCAAATTACATGTAAGTTGTGGCTGTTATTTAATAAGATTATCTTCCATGCTTACAATAATTAATATACACAATGTTATTACTAACTTACATGTATGAAAAGTTAAAATGTAGTACTAATAAGGGTTCCAAAACTGATGCATTTTTGACACAAATATTTATTGAAAACGGTTTACTTAGACGATATAGAACTTACTAAAATAATAGTTACTGTAGCAAGAAATGTTGCAATTTTGAAACTGATATTCAACCTAAAAGTGAAATGTAGACTTTTCCGTTTATTATTGAGTCAGCAGATGTGATTTACTGTCAAGATTTATGTATGTTATCAGATATTAACAGAATGTTTGAAAAGGTCAGACCATTATTGTTTAATATTGCAGTTGTCCTCTTGGAATGATTGTGANCCCCCCCCCCCCCCCACCCTGAGATGAAGTCCACTTCTTATTCACTTTTAAAATTTGTTTACCTCACCGGTCAGTTCCTTAGTGGTGCAACCCCTCCTAAGGAAAAAAAACCTGGATCCGCCCCTGCTTTACTTAAACTTACAAGTACAGGCACTTGTTAATGTTTATATTATCGACTGTAGCTCCATCGGTTATATAATTACGCATCCTTCCGGTATGAGCAATCAGTGATGAAAGGAGTACTCAGAACTCGAAGCGGCTCCTCGAATATAGAGGAGCGATCTATATTTATCTCACTATTTTAATATAAGTTGAACGATCTGACTTTTTTTGTGGAACGACTCTGACCAGATACCGTTTAATTTGAATTGTCCATTCATTCATTCCTCCTGAGATGAGGAAAAGAGCAAGGTCCTTTAAACTGAAAGGATAAACGGTCCGGAAACGTCAATCTCAAAAATTAATTCTGAGAATTTTCCCAATTTGAGAAAATCTGATGTTCTCGACATTATTTTTACACATTCCGATATATTATAACCAAATTCCTCATATTTTTTTGTGTCTCCCGATTCCTGCCAAAATTGCTATTCTCTGGGTGGAAGAAAGAGGCGTAGAGGGCTGACATACTTAGTAATTGCACTCTGGAATAACTATTTTTATTTTTACATTAAAAAAGAAACCCTGTGTAGGGGTTTTGGTGTTCGAAGGGGTGGGGTTAAAAATTATTTTTGTTACTCTTGTAAACTTTTTTTCAAGGTATGCTTCCTTGTATTCAAAGGAAAGGCTAGAAATGCATTTTGTAGAGAATTCCATTTGAATTCGTCTTTGCACCCAATTCATTTAATTTTGTTGGACTGACTTTTAATTTACACAAAATTCAGAAATTTAAATACAAGAAAACCACCGTAATAAATGCCACAAAGTTAATCTAGTTTTTCATTATAGCTTTCTTGGTTAGCAGGAGATGTATATAAAAACAAAACTGGGAAGAACAATAAGTCTTGGTTCAGAGAAGGTTTTCGCACAGCTGTGCTCTACCCGGAGCAATTGCGGTAACCCAATTGAAAGTTTTAGGATGCTGATTGGCCGAAATGATCAAATCCGTTCATCTGATTGGCTCACTTCTCTTTGAGCGACGTCCGGTAGGGATTCGAATGCAGCGCGCGAGGTTACTCAAGTAGAAAAAGAAAGAGGCAAGCCTTTTCCAATTCAACAGCTTTCGAGAGCTTTCTTTTGATATTCAAATTTTTCAGCGTCACAAGGGAATGTCGAGGTAAGCTGGCTGAATTAAAACTGAATGACGCAGCTTTGATTTTCAATAGAGGCTGCCCGTATTTGCAGATTGCATGCTGTTGTTTATTTTTGTACTCATGCTCTTTGTTGTATGGAACTCAGATCTGGGCGAATCGGTAAACAAAAGAGAATTAACGAGGACAAGGCATGTTTCAAGGTATGGAAACCATTTTTTCGTCTAACGCGTTAAGATATCATTCGTATTTTAACTGAGTTTTACATTGTTGCTACGTTGCACATAGATCTTTTGCTGTGAGCTTAGTTAACGAACGACAATTCCTTTAGAGATCAGATTGAATTCTCTTGTTTGTTGTGACGCTTTCTGTCTTTCTTTATACGTTCTGTTCTGCATGCGCTGATTAAAGTTCTTCAGTCACTCTCTTATAATGAAGAGCAACTTATCTTTCTGTTAGGAGTCTCGACAGACCAGAACACTTAGTGACAATTAGCTTTGTTGTAAACATTATTTCATCCGTGACTGCCCAGTAATTCCGAGCAATTTGGTGATGGATATCGGCCCGTATGGCGGTGCCAAAGATTATTCATTGCTTTGTTCACCATATTCGCCGTGTTAACTTCGATTGACGCTACCTTCTAAAACATCGATAGGGACGGGAACAGGATATCTTTTACGCAAACTTGAACGATTTGTTTTCAAGTGGAGAGAGTCGTTAAGACTTAAACTTTTTTACGCTACTCAACTCAACGATGTAAACATCAAAGATATATATGTCGTAGGCAGAGGTATGTTATCTTCTTCCATTCGATCATAACAAAACTCGTCGAAAATTGTGTCGCACGATTATTGTAATTACTAGTAGATGTAAATAACAATTGTCCTTTAAGAGAGAAAATAGATTTCTAATAGTTTAAGGCGGAGGAACATTTAGAAAAGTCATCAAATAATAAAGAAGTTTTCAAGTCATGGACGTTCTTTCTTTCACCGATCGTTAGAGCAAAGTCGCGTTATAGATTTCGTTTTGATATTGCGATTAAAAATTCATAGCCGAGCGAAACTACAACAAAGTGGTACAACTCATTGTGAAAATGAAATCTAAACTATCACAGAGAAACAGATCGCAGTTCAGTTTGTGAAAATTTGACTGAGAAAGACTAAAACTTCTGTAGAAAAGCGAATTTTGTTCTTCAAGCTTTTTGCAGAGTACGTACGTAGGAGGGCATACATGTGCAAAAAATTCCGCATAGGATGGACTTCTCGTCGGAATACTTCTTTCAAAACAATGCCAGCCTGTTTCCTGGTGTTCTAAATAATTTATACCTGTTTGATCTAGGAAATCAAAGTGTTTTAGGTGCAGTTGTTTACAAGGGCAGGATGTGGGTCTGTAAAATGATGTGGTCTTAGTAGTAGATGATAGAGGAAGTTGAAAAACCACTAAAAATATTATTGTAGAATTTTAGTCGATGTCTTATATCTGACTAGATTTCTTTATTTTTGTCATATTATGTCTGACAAGGTGTGGCGACTAATTGACGTGATAATTTGAACAAAACATTATTTTATCATTTTCCTCAAGCTCTGTAGAGATGGGTTTGTTTTTGTCATCAACACATTTTTCAGCCACGTCAGTTCCCTGTTTAGTCGTTGTCTTAGATACAATAATAATAATAATAATATGCCTTATTATTCAATCTCACAAATATACTTCCTGTATGAAATGTTATGTGGGCAGTATTAATTGCCCCCGCAGTTTCCAGATATTACAACAGACACTGTTGCAAAAACTGTAAATTTTAGGGGCTTTTCATGAAAGCAAATGTTAAGTTGGCTATGTGGTACTCAAATGAAGTTAGTATCTCTCAGGACTGCTACCGTCCTACATGTGTAAACTAAGGGATTTCATCTCTGCAAGTGAAAAGAGTTCTATTCCCTTTGTGGGATGAAATCCCTTGAATGGTAGTGAGCTGCAAGACTTTTTTGTATAAGGTCAGATTGGAGCAGGCATGTTTATTTAGGTAGTGAATTGTGGACGTTGAGATATAAAATCTGCATCAGCCGAAGTGTCCTACACCAAAAAAGCTTATTCCAGATTTACCCAGGTTGCCTCCCCTCCCTCCCCTGAACAGATGCTATGCTACTCCACCACAAGGTTACCCCTTCATATCAAAATTGCTGGCACCNATCAAATAATAAAGAAGTTTTCAAGTCATGGACGTTCTTTCTTTCACCGATCGTTAGAGCAAAGTCGCGTTATAGATTTCGTTTTGATATTGCGATTAAAAATTCATAGCCGAGCGAAACCACAACAAAGTGGTACAACTCATTTTGAAAATGAAATCTAAACTATCACAGAGAAACAGATGGCAGTTCAGTTTGTGAAAATTTGACTGAGAAAGACTAAAACTTCTTCTGTAGAAAAGCGAATTTTGTTCTTCAAGCTTTTTGCAAAGTGCGTACGTAGGAGGGCATACATGTGCAAAAAATTCCGCATAGGATGGATTTCTCGTCGGAATACTTCTTTCAAAACAAAGCCAGCCTGTTTCCTGGTGTTCTAAATAATTTATACCTGTTTGATCTAGGAAATCAAAGTGTGTTAGGTGCAGTTGTTTACAAGGGCAGGATGTGGGTCTGTAAAATGATATGGTTTTAGTAGTAGATGATAGAGGAAGTTGAAAACCCACCAATAATTGTAGAATTTTAGTCGATGTCTTACATCTGACTAGATTTCCTTATTTTTGTCATATTATGTCTGACAAGGTGTGGCAACTAATTGACATGATGATTTGAACAAAACATTATTTTTTTATTTTCTTCGACCTCTGTAGAGATGGGTTTGTTTTTGTCATCAACACATTTTTCAGCCACGTCAGTTCTCTGTTTAGTCGTTGTCTTAGATACGACAATAATAATATACCTTATTATTCAATCTCACAAATATACTTCCTGTATGAAATTTTATGTGGGCAGTATTAATTGCCCCTGCAGTTTCCAGATATTACAACAGATACTGTTGCAAAAACTGTAAATTTTAGGGGCTTTTCATGAAAGCAAATGTTAAGTTGGCTATGTGGTACTCAAATGAAGTTAGTATCTCTCAGGACTGCTACCGTCCTACATGTGTAAACTAAGGGATTTCATCTCTGCAAGTGAAAAGAGTTCTATTCCCTTTGTGGGATGAAATCCCTTGAATGGTAGTGAGCTGCAAGACTTTTTTGTATAAGGTCAGATTGGAGCAGGCATGTTTATTTAGGTAGTGAATTGTGGACGTTGAGATATAAAATCTGCATCAGCCGAAGTGTCCTACACCAAAAAAGCTTATTCCAGATTTACCCAGGTTGCCTCCCCTCCCTCCCCTGAACAGATGCTATGCTACTCCACCACAAGGTTACCCCTTCATATCAAAATTGCTGGCACCCATTATACACCTGATGGCAGAAAGAAGCTTTCTCAAAACATTCTGTTGAACACAGCAGCCAGGAAAATGAGAAAAGTAGTTGTACTAGTAAGGGACCTGGTTTTAAATTTCAGTATGAAGTATGAGGCAAATGATCTCCTGGTAGCAAAATTGCCTGATAGGATACACATTGAAAGGACTGAGAGAGGTGCCATAAATGAGTGAATTTTCTTGCCCAAGAACACAATGTAATGGCTTGAATGCAGACCTCTTAGTCAAAAGTCCAGTGCGCAAACCATAATAACATCACTTCTCCTGTAAGGGCAGTGGCAATATGAAGATGATACAGAGTGAGTAAATAGCGTAGCACTCATAGAAAGTGAAACTTTTTGTTATGGCATATGTGAGAGTGTAAGGAAAAAGTAGTACAGTACAATACTGCCTAGCCATGAAATCTCTTTGAACTACTAGCACTGGGA